AAGGTTATCAACTCGCAGGATGGATACTCCGAATCTAAGAACGTTTTACCAATGTCATCAATTCAACGCCTCGAAACTCATCCAGAAGAATGACACTTATACCACTTCATCCAAAATCGATTGGAGGGTGTTTACTGATGTTCTTGACACATAACTATCAATATCTTCTACAACTGTTCGTTACTTAATACTAATTTCAAGAATATTAAAACAAATTTCTTGGTCATCTGATAGTGAATATCTATCCTTCTAGTATATTAAAATCAAATGTAAAATGCAATCTGACATGTGTAGATTGTTTTACATTGCGAGGAAGCACCTCATCTTCATAGTTTCTTTCTAAAGTTTCATTTGATGAACTTTGTCATTATATTCAATGCATTATTATTGTCTTCTAATTATACTTATCTGAATCTCCATAGGGGTAAACGGCAAACGGATTTGACGACAAAGGTCATCAAAAATCTTATTGTACGTTCTCCTAATATGCCTTTTATACTGATCTGAATCTCCATACGGGTGAAAAGGGAAACTTCTTTGATGACCTTCTTTTAAAAGTTTGATATTTATACTAATCTAAATCTACATATAGTAAAGGTAAATTAGGGTACCGTACGATACAATTTTTACATAGGCTTACTCGTAATCATCAATTTGGACCATTATACCGTTAGAACTTAATATTTAGGTGAAGGTATTGAGATGAATATATTGTCAAATTAGAGATTCATTAAATTTTCAATTTATACAAGTTACGAGAATCTATTTTAGGATACAATAATAATGAAATAATACGAACAAATATGTGATTAAACGCCAAGAACGATGAGGATTTATGTTTTCATACTTTTTTTCATTAACGTAATAAAATGTATTGCAAGTAAATCCTATGTTTATAATTTAGACTTTTTAATTTTTACACTAACGGTGATTTTTCTCATATTTTATATTTTTGCATATAGATAAAGTTAGATCATCCTTTGTCGCTTAATATGTCATGACATGGTTAAATTGAATAATATGGAAGGAAGTTTTTATCTATGGGGATAAATCATAGGCGTTATTAACTCACCATGATTCCAAAAATCACAATATGCTTTGATAACGGCTCAGTAGGACAGTTCTTCCGTAGACTACTATCTAGATTCCAAAAGTATCCGATATCATAGTAAAAAATGAGCTCACGGTCACAAACATCTCTTTTTGATCCTCGTCTGGGCAGATGGTGCAGTTCTCTGAGTCGAGTTTTGGACATATCAAGTCTTAGGACAAAAGATACATTCAGCTCTGTCTGAATATTCCTGAGATTTGTCAGTTTCCAAATTTTGATTCTTCCTATACTGTACCCTTAGCTTAATGATTCCACAAGTATCTTCTGGGTTCGAACGATTGCCTTAGCCCTAGCAGATAATGCATCGAATTGTGGAATAAAATATGCACTATTTGTTTGCTGAATCCATTCTCAATCATACATGAGCCACAATTTGTTGGACTGAAAGTGATTGAGAAGAATGTCAACCAGGTCACATTCATGTGAAACCACTAATCACCTTGAATTATGTAATCTGCTCCAACTGTTGATTCATAATCCCAAAGACGCTGATCTAGACACAAAAAACTACTGACTGATTACCATGAACTAAGCAGGAATACCAGTGTGACAAAGTGGTGCTGATGAATGGAAGTACACCATTCCAACAAATAGGTTCATCTGTTAAAGTGAGGAATGTTTGTGCCTTTCCACACAGAGAAATAAGTGTAAAGAAGATAAAAATACTTCAAACGAAAAGCTTGGCAGGTGATCGTTCAATTGGGACTTGACATGGGTGCTCGATAATGTGCTTCTCGCGGAGTGTATGAGAAGTACCATTTCTTGTTCTTTGGTGTACTACTGTTTACATGCAGCTGCTGTCATTGCAAAAGCGACCAACAGGGTATGGTATTCCCATCGTCACTTCATCGGTGAAAAGAAATGGATGTCAAAAGTAGAACATATGCTGATCTTCTGAAGGGAAAAAGAAGATAGAAAAACATTCTCCAGAAACTCATACTGTCAATTGTGCAAACTTTAGGATTTCTGGGCTTTCCATAAAGAGTGGAACGAGCTAACTCTGTATGCACTTTGTGACGAACCGAATAAAATGTAACTCGAACATACTCTTGGTGATAAAAGTGTATTTATAATCATGCGAACTATCATGGACCGCCTACACTATAGGACTGTGGGATTTAAAAAAATAATCCGTCAGGCAGATGTGACCAGAGAGCAATAATGATCGATTCTCTTGCCCAAATGTACGACATTTTATAATTTAAAACCTTACCTTCTCGGAGGCATAAAAACATAATTATCACCCATCCAGTGAAGAGACATCCACACTGTTACCTTTTCAGTCTATCACATGGTTCAACTCTTGTCTGTGTCTACAGGAGCTTCTACCAAAGAAGTTACGTTCTCATTAGATCCAACCATGGACTCCCTAATCCACTGCAGTACTTCTATCGCCATCCTGTTGATCCATGACCTGAGGCTGCACAAGAGAGCAGATGGACATCGATGTACATAACTACACAGGGTGTTTAGATCAGCGTTGCATTGATCCGCTAATGCACATGTCGCTGAAGATCGTGACTCGCTTTGATGGTCAATGATATACGAGCTTTTCAGTGGAAGATGAACAGATGATGCCAAAGTTCCAGAAGTCATCAGACTTTCGTGGACTGAGGAAAGCTATATTCGTCTAATTTTACTGAATCCAGCGAGAAGGAGTGTAGGCCCGCCATTCCAACCGCTAGATACAGTCCGGACCTTGACTTTGAATATACGTGCATGACGGTGGAAGGGTAGAGAAGTGCCATGAATCACTTGTCCGTCCGGATCACAATCCGTTTTATGCTGGAGTAGAAGAAGGGCTCCGAGGCTCGGACTTGTACGTCCTGAAACCCCAAAAGCAATGAGTGGCGTGACACACTTTCTTCATTCATTGAAACATGACATGACATGACGGGCTCCAAAAGTACTTGTAGCACCTCGTGTCTGTCCACAATTTTTGCAATGGTTTTCCAGAGCTAATCGTGGTCAAAATACTGCCGTAATTCTTCAGATACCACCGTCCCCGCTCCAAGACTTTTCCAGAGCCAGAGATCCGAGTACTGTTGTTCTGGTTGGTTCACCAGGAGCGTAATGACAGATTGCAAGTTCAGTGTTTCACCCTGGGAAAACTGGAGGAGGCCAAGAGGAAGGCATCAATCCTTTCACCCCTAAAAATTTGATCCCGTTCACTAGGGAGAATGTGCAGAGGATGGAAAAGGCGAGATTGAAACTGCAGAAACAACTGTCTGATCGGGGAGGGTACTGCTCGAAAGGCGGGGTTTTGGCGTCCAAGAGGACACGGGATGTTTGTGCGCATCTGATCAGATGTGAAAGACAGGCGACGGGGTCAGGTCAAAGCAGAACGAAGTCCTGTCCATTGTCACGAATCGAGTCCCGATGTTAGGTCGCGGTATCTCCAAATGTCACAGGAAAGGTGATGCAGCAGCAGCACATGTGGGTCGAAGGTACCAAAGCTAGAGTAGTCATCGGCCATATGAAACAATCATCAATACTCGGTTGTAGTAGTTAGAGCAGACGCCATAGCTCTCGTGAGTCACCTTTTGTTGACTTCTGTCCCCAGCCCCTCCCAACCCTCCTCATCCTCCTCCTCCTCCTACCAAGTGGTGGCCATCCCATAATCCCCACCCCATTCCATTACCACCTGACCTCTCGCAGGTTCTCAGTACTAGACTCCAGTCCACTTTATTATGGATGCATTGCTGCAGACTTTCCATACAATACTCTATTGCCGATCGTCCTTTCTTCGTGTCCAATTGTGTAAAATCACATGGTGCAATGTGCCACATTCACAAACTGTAGCGACCTGATTATCTGCTCTCGAACGCTCAAAAGCGTTCCCTTGTAAACGAGTAGTCCATGCCCATGCCCCACACCAGGTCCACACAACGGGGCCAGACTCCAGTTCCAGCCCTGTTTATGCTAATCCGCATTAATAATGTGGATTAGCATAATCCTGATTAGCGAAGGTCTGGCGTCCGGAGGCATCCATAAGAGATTCAGGGCGAGCACGACCGGATTTTTTCCGTACCCTCAAGGGCAACTCGAACCGACCCAACATCAGGGAGAGAATCGCCCTTTGTGACCTCTTGCAGCCGGTGACCGTCAGAAGAGAGGTCGACTGTCTTGAAGAGAGCACGTCCGGGACAGGAACCCCAGGACTTTATTTATCTTTGCGAAGTTAAACGGTCCGATTATATTTAACCGGCCACGTTCGGTTCAGCTCGGCATGTGCATGCGTCTCGAAGGACCGCTAAGGATAGAGACGAGCTAATCTAGCTGCTGCCGAAGGGATGAGGGTGTCGGAGCATGTTCTATGCTTATATTTACCGTCCCTCGGTCGCCAAATTAGCCGGTTCCCTGGCTCTGCCGTCGCTGCTACTTTCAGATTTCACCTCGCCGGTCGTGACCCGGTTAAAAGGCGCTGCATTTGACAGACGACGGGCGAGGGCCCGCGGGCCGATTCCGAAGGGAAGAATCTCACAGTGTTTGAATTCGGGCCGTGGATCTCGTCTTCAACGGCTACCAGTCGGTTTCTGTGGGTTTTCTCCTGAAGGGAGGGCCATGTCTTCGCACGAAATGCCACATTAATATTCCCAACGGAAGCATTGTTCCGCAAGCTTATCGCTTCCCCAAATAACATCTTCCGTCGATGCGGGCCATCGGACGGTGCGCGAGCCCAAAGCTCTCGGGATTTTTTAACTTAATCGCTGTTATTGAGCTCGACGCTGTTTCGACCGCCTCGTCCGGTTAACTCTCCTTCCGAGCCGTCGATTCCCATCTGACGGTTTCCTGCTACCCGGGAACCTGTTGGCGCTCGGTCGAACCTCCCGGTGTCGGCATAGGAAGTGGCGTGGCCTCGAGTGGTAGGGCCGGGGTGGGAGGTAAAATGGGGGGTTTCGGGACGCGATGGCGCGGGCCGGGGCTTCTGCCAGAGGAGCGAGAGCGCGAAGACTTTTGGACCGTTGTGGCGAGGAGAGCAGAATGTGCGGGGCCTTCGGCTCTGTGCGTGTATGTCGAAGGAGCTGCGTTCGTTCGACCCCCTCGTTTGCATCTGCTAATGTCGACGTCATGCGATCGATGCGTGCTCGTTGCTTGGCCTGAATTGCCCTGGCCCGGGATTGCGCGACCTCCTTTTTGGCCTTTAGTAAGGAAAGGAATACTCGCTGTTTCATCCTCCGACTCTTTCGGCCTCTCGATCGACAACATGCCAGACGAGTAACACTTCCATCGGAATGATTGCAAGGCGTCGAGTAGTGGGATGAGGTTGATCGCAAAGAATTTGATACGGAGGAGAGGTTTTCTTCTCTTCGAGCGTTTGGAGGACGAGGAGAAGGTGAGTGTGTTTGCGTTGACATCTGTGGCAGGCAGACGAGGGCAGCCCGCTCGCCCGGCCGCTGCGTTGAGTGGGATCTGAGACTTGCCGAGTTTTGGATTGAAGGCTTTCGTAGGCTGGACATGGCAGCATGCGCGGGTCTCACACTTGGGCAATGACAGTTCGTTGCGATCCTTCTGCCATATTTGCAAGGTTCTTGGTGGCCACCCACGGGCAGCATCGTCGAGCGCTACAGAATGTCTAAATTATTGTCATAACGGGGTGAACGTTATGCTGATTTGAGCACTCGACATTCCATTGCTGAATTTAGTCCGACAACGCGGTCGGTCGAGCTGGAGATTTGTGGCATTGATTGCTGCAGCAGAGCGTCGGTCTCTTAATGGCCCTCTTCTAACCACATTCCATAACTCCAAATTTGAAAGAAATTTGTCGGTGTCCGGTATACCGTTTCGAGATCAGTTGCCGTCCATGCACATGCATGCTCTCGTGGATTCTACAAGGTCTTGTTCTTAAAGCCCATGACTCCCACTCGAGGTACGCTCAGGGCTATGAAGTCTAGAATCCGAAGCCTTCGAAAGACCACATTCTCTCGCATTCTAATCAGAGTCCCTCAGTTGGACTCATACAGCAATCTTTATGATCTTAGTCATGTCCATAAATATGAACGAATTCTACCACAGCATTCTTTTCTGAACCCTTGATCGATGCTGGGCAGTCCTCATATTTCCTGGGAATTCTCATAGTTAAGGAAATTAGCTTAGATTCTGGATTTTATTAGGTTTAATTTTCAGATTGGTTAAGAAACAGAGTTCATAGATCTCCTTATGAATTTAGTCTAGATTTAACTTACGTAATTACTTTGATCGCGTGTAGGTCTCAGAGATTTATGAAAGAATGATTTGTGCAGGAAGAAAAAAAATATATGGCTTAATCCTATTTGTAACAAAGACAAATTTGTCTCGGATTCAAAAATTGTTGCAGATTTAATTTTGGTTAATTCTAAGATTTTGTTGACAAATCCCAGGAGGCCTGATGTAGGGGCTGCAGTAGTGTTCTGTCAAACCATACACATTGTCTCGCGGACCTCAGGTCTCTAGAAGTGAGGAATCAAATGTTTGAACGAGTCTTTCATCTTGCTATGAAAAATTCGACATGGTATTCAAGTACAGAACGGCTTAGAAAAGTTTCCCTCGTACTGTAGCCCATAAATGTACTGTATACAGAGGGAGGGATTTTTACAAAGCTGCAATAGCGAAGATGCTGTGCCTGCAGTGCTGCACCAGCCGGCAGAGTTGCCTGTTCGCTCCCAATGACAAAAAGCTGCAGAGCGGTCCAAACTTGTGCAGGCGCTTGGAGCAGAGCCACGCATGTGTCTAAGCTCTTTATTTAAGGTGGTTTAAGCTATTGACTCTACGCGGCTGCTGCTTTCACCGCCGGTCTCACACTCTCCACACGGTGCGCACTGAGCACAGTTCTCCTTCTGAAATAGCTCGGAGTTTGTGAACGTCGTCCAAGGCTCGACCCCATCTGCTCTGCTCTCCGCTGGAACTGCTTGGCGTGAGCTCTTGGTGCAACTTGACGAAACTTTCATCCTGACCTACTTGAGAAACGTGGTAAGGTCGCACGTGTTTCCTCGAAATTTATGCATGAGAATCCGTGTGCTTGTCAAGGACAACGTGGGTTTCACGATCCAAACGTCCCCAAGTTTTCCAACTTAATTTGGTTCGAACCCCGTCGACTTTTCTATAGAAGCACTGTCTGAAAGTGACCTTTTTCGTCTACACGTTACGCCAGCCAGGTGGCACACGACTTTACTGTTAGCCATTCACCGATTTCTCCCTTCCATGTTATTATCATTGTGGATCGGCCGACCTCAAACATCATCTTCTTCTTATCGTCCACCGTCTGACTACTCTACAATTGGAAGACTGGCAATTTGAATTCTCCATTGCCACTAAGGACATTCTCCATTGCCAGTAAAGGTATTTGTTGGATGATCTTAGCTGTCGCATCTTGCTCAAGCCGAGACGCAAGATTGCGTCTACCAAATCATCGTGGAGAAAAGTTGTAAGTATAAAACCTCTTTCTCTTTTGTGGCCCAAGGTCTCAGCTAGCCTGAAAAGTCGTCAACCTCCTTTTCAATCCTTTAGAAATAAGTTTGCGACATGTTGCATCATCTTTCACATCATTTAACATTTTGCTGCATAGAATACTAAGTGATTCCTAAGTACTGTAGTCGTAACCAGCGCGAGGACTTTGCCCAAGATGACTATTGCAATACCTTGATACATGGAAGGCCTTTGGACAACCGGAGTTCAAGTGACAGCCTCCACTGCTTCGGAGTCGGATGTCAAATTATCACAGTATCCTCACAGCATGGTGTAAAGTCAACTGCAACTGTACTTCTTCACCCGGGAAATCTGCAAGTGACGTGGTGATAAGCACCAAACCACGGAAGATTGTGTGCAGCGTCGAGTTTCGATCACCAGGTACGTGACAATGGACTCATGGAGTGGAGCTTAGGATGCATGCATGACATAGAAAGGGATGTCACACACTGGTCTTTGTCACGGTATGTTCATGTCTGGAGTAGGCAACAGACATTGTGTACTTGAGGTTGAATGTTAATTGGATCTAACGTGCATATCTACCTGCGGAACGAGATGTGAACGGCCATCGTGGATATACTGATAATACAGTAACCTGTACAGCGCCATTGTTTGTTTCGTAGTTGAATTTATCTGCTGCTTCTGTGGCAAAAGTACGTTCGATTACAGTAAGGACTCAACCCCAAAGCAGCTGAGAGTGGTGAATACTGGATTCACATTTCAACACAAACCTTCAAATTTCAATTAAGGTTTTTGGACTGTGAGAAAAATCTGCCAACTATTTGTGATTCCTCGACAGGTTACAAAATGCATAACAAGAGTAAACTTCTTCTAAACATTGGGAACGGTGGAAAATATTTGGACAATTCTCTCATTTTAGCTAAATGTAAGAGTACTGTGTCATAGGTGTTAGTTTATGAGACAATTTATTATGGACTCTCATTCCCCACATACGATCACATATTTGGAAAAACGATGTTGACAATTTGTACGGAAGAAGTCTCTTTGTTCACTCTGTAACTCGTTGTGCAAGTCCATAGAGGTCGAGCGATCGAAACAAAATGAACCCTGGGAATGGATTCCCGTAGTTATGATTATGTTTATCTCAACAACTTTGCGAAGCTATGAACCAAACAAACACCTGGATGATGTCAGTTTACAATGCTGTAGACCTCATCATGTTTGTCTACAGTGAGACAGTCAGTGAGGTGATTATATGTCACCCAACAGAAACCCACAAAGTCTAACCTACCCCGCTGGGTTTCATCCTGTATACTTGCCTGCGTCTTCCCATAATTTGTTGATACATTGCTCCCCATCGCGATTCATTGCAGAGACCCACATATCTCTCAGGTTGTCATGCTTTTTAGATGCCCGATGTTCACTGAGTTATCCTTCTCGTACACAACGGCAACTGCAGATTTACAACTCTAGTCGTTGTCTTTTTAAAATGTAAGTGTTTTAGAAAGACAATGAGATAAGGATATAGCTTTGCCAAAAAATACGTCGCAATTCCTGTCAAAAGAGCTAAATCGTACTTGAGCGGAATCAACGATTCATGGGAGCACACATCATAAATATTCGGTGTATGGTTTGACTGGAAAGTCGCGTTGATTATGGAAAAATTGTCCGAGAACCGGAACATGTTGTCAGAGTTCAATTTAATGAAATTCTCCTGAGCCGAATATATGTATTGATTTTTTGAGGTGAAAAGGGAAGAATATGGCCACATCTTTATTCATTTCGACACTCGCACTTGATGGCAATGATGGAGAATTATTTGTCACATGCTTGACTTTCCAGAGCTCTTACAGGAATTTATAAGTTTGTGATCTGGACTCGAAGTCGACCAAAAAACCAACATACTGACTTACATCCATACTCATAAATATTTTCTATAACTTTTCGTAAAGATGACCAGTAGATTCGAATGAAGGTGGATGCCCTGTTATAGTATGTGGAATGTTGTGACTTTACTTTGGGTCATTTTTTGATATCTTAACAGCATGATCAAGATTACTTTCATGATTTCATTTGTATATGAATCTGAACGAAACTTCCGTCTCCTGAATCAGCCGAGAGCATTATCTGACCAAGCATCCCGCTGTGTATGATCATTACAAGCATCTTAAAGAATCCAACAGAGCTCTACAACACGAGTCCCGTGCACTAGGATCTTGTGGTCAAAGCAAGACCCAATCCATGGTCGAGAAACAAGTTCAACAACTTTTCGCTTACTGTCCTAGGAGAGATTCACTACAGAGCCACGCCGACACTACCGACCGCAGTAACCCTTGTGAATCTTACATCGTTGCTGCTGTTTTACAAGGGAATGTTCCCTTAGTGTGACGTGGACTGACCGTTGTGTTCCTCTTGAATTGGTTGGTTGATGATGAGGGTGCCACACTGCTAGCAAGTGAAAAATGATAGTAGGGGGAAGAGAGAGAGAGAGAGAGTAAAATGAATCTTCTACAGGCCTCAGGAGTTTGAAAGATCGCCTGACTTTTGTGTTATGAGAATCTTTCCATATTATGAAGTTCAGCAAGTTCAGTTTATGGATTCAGAGGCAAAAGGGGGAGGATTTTATCTGTTAAGCTCGAAGACACTTCTATGCAAATGTCAAACTTAATGTTCTGCAGTATTTTTCATATAATCTTGTCAATTATGTTCTACTCTTTGTTAATCAGATCATATTTGAAGACGTCAGTTTGGCTTATTAAACCACGAAGGTGAACAATTACCTATACAGAAATATTTTATTTTATTTTTTTGGGTACCAATCAACTTTTATTTGTAGAAAATCTCGTTAACGTGAATTTCTTTGACCGTGTATTTCAACTTAGCAATCATTTCTAAGAGTGCAAAAATACTGTATTTTGAAAAATACTACCAAAACTCAAAACTCTCTTAGCATTCCATACTTTAAGTAATATTATTCCAAGACTTTATTGATACATTGAGCCTTCTTGCTTTTTACTCTAAATTTTTGAAGCTCATTTATGAAAGTTGCAGTTGTAGAGATACTTTTTTTTGCTTGAATTAAAAATTTGATCATCTTTTTTCTCTTCATGGTCAAAATTTTTAACTAACGTATTTCTTTGACGTCCTTCATGTGGAAAGTTCAAAGACTAAAGGTGTGGACGTGGAAGTGATACATATATCTTTCAATCAAAACAAATTTAACAGTTTTTTTTGCAATGAAACAAACCAATGAAGTAATGCATGTATCACAAAGGATGAATAAATGTGCAGAAGTTATTTTTCACTTCTTTTCTTCCATTAAGTTCTTTGTCCACGTAGGTTGGTCAAATCGGTATAGAAGGTACATGAAGGAAAGTTTAATATGTGGAAGATGCTTAATCTACCTTCTTCTATTTTAGCCAACAACATCACAAGATTGCAATCCCATGGTTAGGTTTAAAAAGTATGATAATGTATTCTTTCTCTATGAACCGTCATTTTACTCTTCAACTCCTTTGTATTGTGAAATGTGAAAATCATATAATTTAGCCATGAAATATGCCCAAAAAGAACGCAGGACATTATACAACAATCACACTGAGCACTATACAACTTGGCGAAATATTAATGACTTCTTAAAACTTTTTCGAGTATCTTCATTTCTGGACACAAATGTTATCATCATCTCAATTTTGCACATTTTCAAATGGTGTGCAAATTTAGTAAACCTATAGGCCACCTTGAATATCTATACTTTAGTCACCATATCTCCATTGCTTCCCTGGGAAGTATTTTCCTGTATGTGAGCAATCTTGGTTTGTTCTGTGTCTAGATATGTATTGGGTCGTGGTGTAACATGAGATATTTTTAGTTTACTTCTTTGATTTCATCATTGTATATAGCAAAACCCACGTGAAGACTCCATAGTCGTTCCTATATTACTGTACTTGCTTCCGAGTCGTCATGAAGGCTCAAGTTACAAACCTTTCAACCACTGAAAATTCGTCTTATGTACTTTTGTACGTGAGCTCAGCGTAAGGTCAAGTCCAAAAGTCTTGTGAATGGGATCGTGAAGCTAACATCAGCTGATCAACATAACCTCCTGGCAGAAATTGCAGTCGATCCTGGAATGAAAGCAAGACTATGATCAAATGAGCGAGCCATAGAAAGAAATTCGGGAGTGGTTACGGTTACCTCAGTTTGGGTTAACAGAGTTTTGTGATTGGTCACCCTACTAAACAGAGCTATGTGATTGGTGAGAGCTATCTCTATGGTTACTAGTTCTGTGATATAGTCTTCGCGCTCAAAAAGAAATGGAAGAAGTAGTGAACATTAGACAAGGGTGAAGGATAATTAGCCCAAACTGAGGTTTAACTAGTAGTTCCAAAAATTCATGTCTCTTTACTCTAAATTACTACAATTTCCCTTCTACCACATTAGTTGAAAAACAAAACTACTGTACAATGTGTTGAAGTGATTGTTGCAATACGCAATTATTGTAGGTTCGCATTACACATATTCCAGATGGAGGTATCTTGTTCCATTTAAGTTTGGAGTGTGTGATGTGGGATTTTTGTACCTAGGATTCAACCGATTTCGGAAGCTTCCGCTGCTGGATGAATTGACTCGAGCTTTACAAATCTAAAACAATTCAATCTTTAGTGATCGCGATGGTGATCCATTCGAAGCAAATCTGAATTATCAAATCCAACTGAATCCTGTAAGTGAACTTTGTTTACAGTTCCAAGGAGAGAGGGCGCCCTGAGGCATTTCACTGATGTTTAGACTCAGGTAAGAGCAATAGCACACAGGCTCATCACCATCGCATGAGCTTTCCAGAATTTGAAGCTCAACAGGATCATTTACTTGTGAAGGACTCGATCTCAATCAGATTATTGACCTGGGTTTAAATCCCATAACAATACTCGGGTTTCGCATTCTGGGTTTAAATTCCATTCCTTTCCTCTTTCTGGTTTTCAGTGGGAGAAAAAATTATCATCCAGAGGTCAGCTTTGAGAACATCGTGAGTAGACTCCGAGACCAGTGCCTAGCCAAGGCAAGTCGTTCGTATCCCAGCTTGAAGGCTGCACTTCGCTGTTGGGGGTAATTAGATTAAAAAAGAAGGTGACTGTTATGTGGACCGAAAAGGAAAATACAAAGTATGCCTCTGGACCACGAAACCTCGACTCCATTTGAAGTAAAAATTCGGGTCAAGTACTAGGAGTCCCGTGGACAGAAGTTGCTCTCCCTTTGGGATCCTGCTTGGAAAACTGTACAACACGAACGTTCCCTCTATCTGACATAACTATCAAACCAACTGTTATGATTACTACCAGACGCCCAAGATTTAACTCTGGCTAGTTATCGAAATTTGGAGAGGTTCCTCCTGTACATTGATTCTGATCAGCCCACCATTAATAAACGTTGAGGACGAGGCCTTTTATATTCGAAGGCTCCCAGCAGTACCGCAAACAATCTTGTATTTATGAATATCCAGAAAATCCGATCTGGTATTCGAGTCAAGCATTGCAGTTGAAGAGTCTGTGATCTTCGACACCTCTTCGTCAAGATGCTGTCATGTTCTTTCAATTACCATCCAGCATTTGGGATGATCCACTCTCGCTTCGAAACTGATCGGTTCAACACCAGTCATAAATCTTCCTCTGTCCCTGGAACGATACACATCATATACATATATTCCTGTACAAAGAGACAACAAAGTTTTCAACATCCTGGCATTCATTGTATCATGACCGATGAGTTTATCATCGCAGAGTGTATGGATGTGACACTGTCCTACAAAACAAAGGTATATAAAGTCACTGTCAAATCCACCTCACTTCTACTACAAGGAGACATAGAGTCATACAGACAACTGTCTACGTGAAGTCAAAAGCTTTCGGTGACCAGTGCAGAACTTCCAAATGAGAAAGAATCTTCTTATGTTGTACATAGGAAAGGCATCCTCCAAACATGATACCTGCTCATCACTTCCACTGTATCGGAAGAAGTGATCACAGAACAAATTCCCGGAAAGATGGGAGGACAAGTGACGTCTTGGCTTTTGAGCATGTCCAAATGTAGGTCCGGTTTCCAAATGCAGGAACTATTCAGTTACTGAGAAGAGTTAAAAAGGAAAGGAGGCTTTTACATGACATATACCGAAGAAAGCTCTTAAGCCAGACTTGACAATTCGAAGTTATTGGGATGTGTCGCAAGTTAAGGCCACAGAAGGAGACGGCAGAAGGGGATCAGTAACACGAGGAAAGCCAGACGTGGAAGTGTTTCTACAGAAACAGGAATCAAATTTGGACAGTTCCCATCTTTTTCTTCTTTTCAAGATTATTGATAAGAGCTTAGCATTGTCCTGTGTATTATTCAACTTCAGAAAAACAATGTACACATTCAGCTCTGTTGCAGAGTCCATCTCAAATTCGCGAGGTATTCTTCATATTCCTCGTCATCATCAATTTCTGAAAAGTAAGGCCCCTCCTCATTATCACTGTGATCATCGTCGGTCTCTACATCTTCAGGCGTTTGGAAACTTCTAGCTGACGAACCATGTCCATACTCATCATGACCACCTTCGTCATCTTGATACGCATCATCATTCAACCACCTCTGAAGACTGGCTTCAAAGAAAAGCTTACCAGAAGCAACATCCTGCCACGAAAAACTGAAATCCGCAACTTTTTCCAGAGTAAAAGTGTCTCCTACCACCACAACCTTCAAGCCCTTACTCTTTGCAGTCTTCAAAATGCCTAAAAAATCAGAATCATCTGATAACAGACAGATACACTCGACTCCCTTGTTCATACAATTGGCAATGTGCTTTTTCAGGGCTTCATCAGCGGCTTGAGGCTTGCTCTCGACCGTTCTCACATCTACGCCTGCCCTTCTCAGCTCTGAACCCAATCCGTATCCAGATTTTGGTACTAACACTCTCCGGGCTGCTGCTTTGTATTTGATTTCCTGCTCTGCAAGGTCACTCAGGAACTTAGCTCGCCTCTTACCTCTAAGCGTTTTTAAATATGCCAATTTCCTTTCTCGCTCTCTCTCGTGCATTTGCTTGAAATGCCTCCTCAGAGCAACATTAGTCTTGCACATTCTACCGCAGAGCCTGCAGATATACGGGCGCTCCACTTTAACCAGTCCTCTCACCTCCAACTGATCCAGCAACCTCCTTTCCTGTCTCTGCTCCTTAACCCAGGGTGGAACATAAGTAAATGCATTCTTGTTGGCGTAAGCCACCATATCCACCACCTCCCCGAATTCGCTTGCCAGACTCCTCAACCTCATGGCGGCATCGAAAGGAGGCACCAGAACGGGGGGCTTGTTGTCTAAGTCCCAAAACACGCCTACCGTCCTTCTCCCAGAATAATCCTGCTCCTCACTAATTCCTTCGACTTCAGATCCGAATGGCCTGTGTGCATAATTCCAATAGTGTCCCCCGCTGCAAGCTCTGCGCAGAGAAGTTGTTGTACAAGCAAGGATAAATCTCTTCTCAAATCGTTTCAACGTACAGTGGCGGTCCCAATTTTCAGTCGGAAACGAAGACAATGGCACGGGGCAGATTCCTGTTAGGCATATGAACGTAAGTAAGGTGACAAAACTCAAACCAGACAACTGGACCCTGGATCGAATTCGAGGGAACTCGCCTGAACCAGCTGATGATTTAGGATAAACTCTTTACGTTGAGAATTGATAGCACACATGATTCTCACATATGGAAGCACCGACCACTTAACATGGACGGGGTTCCGAGGAGTTACAGTATCTAGCTGAACACGGAAATAAAGAGATTTCGAGGAAAGGTACAAACCTGGAGCAAAGGCAGCACCACTCATCGCTACCAGCAGCGGTGCAATTTTGTAGCCAGCTCAGAGGAAACAACCGTCAGTGACACTGCTTTTCCCGGGGAGTGTCAATGTTTTCCCACAACGGACTCGACCGAACACCAAACATCGTACAGTTCTACAGCAGCTGCAACGAAAGCCTTCACACGTTCCACCGAAATAGTGGCAGAAGGAGCTCACGATTCCTGCCACTTGAGACTCTGAGCTCCTCTTGAGGGCTTCAGGTACCAACAGCTATTTGATTCCCGAGGTTCCACCATGACTCGCGTTCGAACAGTCTTATGCCATGGACCAAACGACGGACGGCATTATTGACAAACTGGAAGTGCCCCACTCGACACTCCCCAGCTCTGCTCAACAAAATCGAAGTCTAGCGACTCTGTAATCGTCCAATGGAAAGACCAAAGTCTCAAGGGAGCTAAACTTCCGGTCAAAAGAGGGAGAAGAAGCAGAAGCTACAAATCCAAGTCAATGTCTTCATTGTGCCTACGTGGGAGTAGGACTAAGTTCGAGGTTAGTTCACAGGTTTCATGAAATCTATCGAGCCATATGGAAGTAGCTTCATATAGATGTCATTTGAGTATACTAGATGTGTGACCGGAACATATACTTTCCAACACTAAATAACATTAAGTGTTCATGTATAACTCTGCAACAAAATGCAAGAATATATATTATATTTTTTTTTGCATGAATTACTAGATCATAAGAGTAATAGTTTCAAGTAATGGAGATTTTGATTGATAAAAAAATATTTATTTACAAGTTGACATATCTTTGTGATGTTGAAGAATTTGAATATTTGTCGTCGATGAATTTCACTTTCATACATTGATATTGAACGTCGAAAGCTTTCTTATTACATTGGTGCAAGCTTAATGAAATGTAAACTTTGTTGGATGATTTAAGAAGATTTCATAAAAAATTCAAGTTGGTTAATCTATTCATGGTGGATGTATTGTATATGAATTTCATCTTTCAAATCTTATTTGAGTATATCTAAATTTCGTTAACGTTCATATCGATAATATGTATTTGAATATTATAAATTTTTATGAAGATTTTTGCGTTCTTTTTTAAATGAAAATTATATTTGAGTAGAAATTTATAAGTTAGAAATTTTGCAGAATTCATTACCAAATTTTACTCTGAAAAACTGAAATATTTTGTTCTGATAACCTAAAACACTATCTGAAAGATTAAATACTTGATAATATATCATGAATTTGAATAATAAAAAAATATAAAATTTTTTATTGTAATTTTAAAATTTTCATAACATTCACATGAACTTTTATTTTTCATTTTACAAGATTTTTTTTTTCAAAATAAAATATAATTTTAATACACATTTTCTTGAATTTGTATTTCTTTTAACTCTACGATGTTGATGCAATTTTTTTCTGGTTGAAATGTAATCTTCATTATCAAATTTGAAATTTAATTCTTTAATTTTTTTACGCTCTACCTTTTCATTAGCTAATGCAAAAAATTTATAATTCATATTTTTATATTTTTATTATTTTTAATTTTTTAACATTTATTTTTCATCATAATTTCATTTAAAAGTTCATATCAAGTGTTATTTTATTGAATTACATCACATTAATAAAATAAAAATCTGTTAAATATCCTCTCTTTTAATATAATAATTATAAAAGATAAATTTTCATGATATTTTGCAAAAAATTATTTAATACATTTAAAACTTTATATATAATATGCGCAATAGTTTAATATGACATGTTCACATGATAATTACGAATCTATTTTAATTTTATCTTGAATTATATGTATTATACATCCAACAAACAAAAGATAGTTATCAAGTTGACATGTTTAATTTAATCAAATTTTTAATCATAAATCAAACAGAAAAATTGGTATATGAAATATAAAGATCAACTTTATGAAAGAATACTGCTTATACTCGAATTTTATAAAAGAAAACTAGTACACATCTTGATTAAAAATTTTTCATGATGGATCCACTAAAAATCAATCCAATTATTTGATTTTTACTTTATTCATTGCCATTTTTTGATACAAATGAAAATGCAAATGATAATAATAGAATGTAGTTAGATCTTATTGATCCACAAGATGTGGATGATAAGAAAGTAGAAAAATTGTCCATTTAATGAAGCTTGCAAGATTTTGAGTATTAATGAAATGCAAATGTGACATTAATTATGCCAGGAGTGAATGAAAATGTATATAGTATCACACTAATTCCCCATTTGTATACAAAACAAAATATTGGATTTTTAAAATGGAAATAAAATTTGCGATGTTTTTTTACTTAGCTGAAAGCAACCATGTGATGATTTTGACGCATCTAAATTACTATATTCACATAGAGAGGCTGCGGTAAAACTTTGATACATCAACTGTTCAAAGTAGAATAATAGATTACTAGCCGTGACATATGTTTTGCTTAGTATCTTTATTTTGAGAACATGAACACAAAAGGAAACCTCCGTGTGGAGCGGTAATTTGGGGTCAAGGTTGATAGGTTGAAACATCACTAACTTAGCAACAGCACCAACTCTCCTTCTTAGAGCGTGAATTTGTTGGTTGTTTTTGCCTGTTCATATTATAAACTCCACCCAAGTGGGGAGTCGAACCAAGGTACAGTAACTTCAGTTTGGAGGGTAAACTCATGGCAGTGATTTAGGACTTAGCGGTTCCCCAAGTTTCTGACGATGGGGAGATTAGACTTAGCGGATGAAGCGGGTAGTCCTCACTCCATCGCGAGATTCTCCCGATCGACGGCTCATATGAGAATCCTCACTTGTCTCCACAGTTCGGTGGAGGGCACTGAAGGTCACCAACTCCAACCCCTGAATAAAACTCCGTTTTGCTACTTTACTTTTGGCTATTTCCTTTCGCTCATCAACTTAGAAATGATATGATATTGCTCAATACATACGAAGCAATAAAACTTACTATTTGTCTAACTGTTCATAGCTATAAAATATCGAACAATGAGTCCCTTTCCTTCTGGAATAAATATGAATTACCAGCAGAAAAAAATTTCATTCTCTCTCGATCTCATAGAAGCTTGCAAAATAAATCACACATAAATCCAGAGCTCACCAATCTAATTAACGGAAATGGAAAAATATAAGATCATTAAAGCTTGCAAAGGGAAAAATCAAAGATCATAAAAGCTTGCAAAGCACACACATAAATCCAGAACACCAATTTAATTAACGTAAAGGGAAAAATCAAAGAGGAAATATGGGAAGAGAAGAAGCACGCATCCGAACAACATCGTGCGATCCTGAGCCCTGAGTCAGAACGTGTGCAGTTGGTGTCTTAACCGAAGTTAACCGAAGGTTAAGGCTGGCGACCGTGGGCCGGAAGGGGTAGCGGAGCCGCGCGTTAAAGTAGGACAGGGGCAGCTGAGCCTGCCGGAGAACAAACGAGTCGTTGGAGGACGCCTCTGGACTGCCATTTCGTTCGTGCTTGTGATGCTGCAGCAGCTTGCCCGAGACCCAGCGACACAGCGTTGCAGCGTGAGCATTTGTATCTGACGAGAGGACGATTTCGATTCTGTGAGTAAATGTCCTTGAGCCTGTCTGATTTTGCAGTCTTCATCGATGGCTTCATCGGGTCTGCTGCCTGAGACCTGAGAGGTGTCTGGCGGGTTGTTCTTTGGGTGCTGTTGGTAGTGGCTCGAGTGGATGTTTGAGCTTTGTACTTTTGAGATCTGTCTGTGGAGGGTGATTTTGTTGGCCGGGTTACTTGAATGGAGAAGAGATTTGTTCGTTTGTGACGTCGGAGTGTGTTGGATCGGAAAAGCTTGTTCTGTCTGCGTTGGATTGAGTCACGGAAAGGGGTGAATTTGCTAGGGTTTTTGTTGGGGGGTTCAGATTAGGAGAAGTTATATCTTATGTAGGTTTGGTTTATTCGATTTTGGTGGTCTAGATCGAATAGCCTCGCTGTACTGAATTCTTAGCCAGTTCGCGCTTTGACCCTTCTCTTGGTTTTAATTCGAATGAGATTTGTTCTTATTATGAAGAAATAGAAAATCAAAGCTTGGCTGTTTAGCTCGTGGAATTTTGTGACCCTCGTCAGTTAATGGTCAGTCACTGGACGAGTGATACGAACATCACACATTGTGCGTGTTAGCTGCATGACTTTCCCAAAATTTTCAGATACAATTTCTAATCTGATCCCATCATCTCTTACCTTCTTTTCGTGATCTAATTACACTTCGATCACACTCACATGGGCCGAGAGGGTATTCTTTTGTGATGGATAGGATTAAAGCCCTCTACTTCATGTTCTCCTGTTGTTTGGTCGTGGTTCAACCAGAAGAAAATGAGAATGAGGCATTACTTTGTTCAGTAGACTGAAATCCTTAAATTGAACGAAATCGGCAAGGTTGTCCGAAATAATGATCAAACCGAACTGGATGTAGGCCTAGTCCGAAGAGCCAGTCGTCAACAGGTTTAAAAAAATGGCCAGCGACCAAGCAATTTTGGACAAGCAGAGATACTTCCAGAGTGTGCATAAGTTGACCCACTTGAAAGGGCCAAGGGACAAGATTACATCTGTGGTCATTCCATGGGTCCTGTTTGGATCAGCTGCTTTCATGATGGTGAGGCCAAATCTTTCTCAATAGCTTGCCCTTTTTGAAATTTGTTATGGAACTTGGAAGTTCAGTGGCTAAATGTAGTTACTCTGATGTCACTGTGATTCGCAAAGTTTTTTCGTCCAAATCATACCATCCGTCCTCCACGCTTGTTTCAATCTTCACATTAGTCTAGGATTGAATGCAATAGGTCGGACGTGTCCATGGCGGAGCGCTGAATGCTCAGCCGATTGTTGAGTCTGCTGCTTTTATGTAAACATGGGTGTGCACAAAGTACAAGTGACCTTGTTTGAGGCTGCCAACTTTTCTGTCATACGCCAATACTGCTGGGAGTTCGAGTGTCTTACGCTGTAAAATCTCATTACTTAATTGTACGGGTCATTCTTTTTTCAGGGAACTGGTCTTTCCAAACTGTACACCGGGACAGGAAAGAAGGAGGGGGCCTAGGAAGTTGTCACTTCGAAGACCATTTTTTGATTTCCCTCAATTTCGTTTGTAAAGAAAGGAGAGGGACAGACTAGACACCAGGTCCACACAGTTAAAAAACTGGTCTGTGTCTTTAATCCCATAGCAAAGTTTCTTTAACTTGAGAAGCATGAAGGAGTAATCTATTTTCGTGCCGTTCATGTTATTTACGGGGATGTTCTCTTACGTGTATGATCAGCTCTTTTAAAATATATATTACCTGATTCATTTCTTTGTTACCTACACAAGAAGAAGCCCGTGGTATTTATGATTGTGAAGAAGGTAAAAAGTACTGTCTTCCACTTCTCTGTTCTTATCGTGAGATTTCAGCTTCAGTCTCTTGGGTTCTATAGATTTGCACAAGACCAAAGCCAAAACCACATGTGCATACGTCCTGCAGGTGCGCGGTATCTGGAATATGTCCACAGGACAAGGAAAACTGTCCGGGAAATAATCGAGAAAATCTGTGCGCATAGAGGTTTACAACACTGAACATTCGTTTCAAGTTCCAGTGAAGCTGTAAGCGGATGAAGAAATAAAGTGGCGATTTTGTGTTACAGCAGTCAGCTCAATAGATCTCATGATGACATTTGCTATAGTACTTCATGCAGGAAGAAGCTTGCAGTCAGTTCGTTCGAAGCGCAGGAATAGTCAATTATTACTGCTTTTTTGGAGTTATGTTGGTGCACGAGATTGTCATCCTGAGTCGAGATTCATCTAACCATCTTACGAAATAAGAGCTAGATCTCTGTAACCCCATATCCATAAAATCGTGATACCATCAGTTTTGGTGGCGAAAGGTGGAGGAAGTTAGATAACGATCCGGGGACTGAAGGGAACGGAAGTAAGTTCACAGCACATAACCATATGAATGACGGGCAACTTCATTTCATGTAGAAGGAAGGACCGTAATAGAATGCAAGCTGACTCTTTTACGCGATATCTTGTACCACGCCCTAAGGAGATATTTCACAGTGAGCCACACTGTGACATCGCACTTGTACACACTTCTACAGACAGTATGTACCAACCACCATATGTCTAAACAGTTTATAACAACTACTGCTTTTTTTTAAAATGTACAGAATGCTCACCTTGCAGTTTTCGTCCAATGATGTGCTCCATTCATTCCCGTCGGGACACCATCAATATTAGAAAGAAGAAGTCGAGCCAAACGAACAAAACTGATTGAGTGGGAATAGGTTAGTGAGTAATTCGGAATATGTCATCTAAAAAACTTTCAAGTTTGAGTTGTGATTGAGGAATATAGTTTCAGTTTTACTGTTACCCAAGTATTGAAAACTGTGGGAATTTACCAAAAGATTCTAGTAATATAATGAATTTTAGAGTTTTGAATTATTCATTACATATTATTGAATATTTTTTACATGAAAAAAATGGTCATACAAGAATTCATTCATTAGATTTAATGAGTTATACAACTTTTTTTGACAACTCTTTGAGACAAATTTGTTCTTCAAATGACTTAAACGATAGAGTTAAATCATAATGATGGCTTGTTTGCCTTATAACAAAAGGTTACAAACGTACTCTAACAATATTCCTAATTTGTTCTTGAAAAAGTTTTTAATTATCAATGTTCAAGTTAAAAGGTTTGGGTCTTAATAAGTTGCTCATATCCATAGTCTTCATCTTATCTTTGACTTCTCTCAAAATAGATAATCACTTTGTACATCGTATTTGATAGCATTATACATAGCTCCTCTAAGGTTATTGACAACCATAATCATTTGAATAATTAAGGTTGTTAGTTGTGCTGTCTGTATAAAATGTTTAGTTTTTTTCACATATGAGTAGAAAAATCCACGTACCAATAATAAAATTCTAGAATTTAGTACAAAGTTCTAGGGTTTAAGATTTGAAGCAAAGAATGCTAGTGCTAGGATTTAAACTTCAATCCTCAACATTTCTCTCCTTTGATTTCAGCCAAGTCACAAAGAGGTTACTCTGATGGACTTTTTCTGCTTCTTCTCTAAGAATTTGATTTGTGATAGTAAGGTACATTTAAAACGATTGAATATATTTTCAAGCTTGGAAAACACCAATTTGATGATCAAAATCACATTTAATTTGCTTTTAGTTGTGAAGATTTAAGCATCTACAGATAAATATTACAAGTAATGTTCTTTCTCTTGCGTCTAAAGATCTCCTCAACGCTCCGTCATGCTTACAATTGCAATCAAGCTGTTCTGACATAATACTAAATTGACGTTGATTTGCGATTGCATGTCCTTACTTGCATCTCAATACTCATCAAGCATGATCTTTTATCATACATTGTGCCTTAAATTTGCTTCAACTCCCCTAAATTATGGTGTGCTGATATGTTTTGGATTTTGATCTATCATGGTCAAAATTTGAATCGTGTTGCGGAATGAGTCATAGTTGAGTGTTTTGCTTGATGTTCTTGAATAATCTTGACATTAAACTCTTTTTGCTCTTGGCCTTCATGCGCTATTAGAATTAATAAATTTACAGCTCACAATGTTTTTTACAAAAGATCAAAATGAAGAGTAAAACCCACATTCTTCAATTCTTTTGTTTCTCACTTCCTTCTTTTGCTTTACACTCGTTGAAAAACCTCACAATTATCACATTTGTTCACTCACCAAACTCGTAAAGAGTCAAAGCCAAACACAATCAAGCCCAAATAACAAAGAACAAAATAACCCAACAATCTGATACCAAGTGTCATGGTAATTTTTCATCACAAGGAATATTGAACACATTGCTTTGTATAAAATTGTAGGGATCTTTTTTCATCACTATAAAAGTCAAACACATTGGTAGTGAGCACTGAGACTAACGTCAACATAAAATGCACAGGCATATCCGACAATGTGTACATATGGTTTACCATTACGTAGTAGATCCGGGAGAAAACCTGTAGTTTTTGTGAAAAAAGCCTTAAATGTGTCACACAAAAACTTTCTTGTCTTTTCTTATATGGTGTGGATTTAACCAGCTTCACAAACCTCAGTTATCAAGATAACGTGAGTTCATTTGTAACATTAAATTTGAATTTGCTCTTGGATCAATTATTAACAAAAAAAAATTAATTGAAATATTTCTTTCCATCTACCATATTTTAAACAAAAATATGATTTCAAAAAATTAAGAAAAACTCAGTACATAGTTTCACCTCCCAATAGTGTCATCTCTTAGTAGTGACATTCTTCCCATAGTGACTTAAAAGTGATGAATTATTAGATCCTACCTTGAAAATCTATCAAATAAGAACAGTACGACACAATTTTTTTAATAATGACATAACATCTCAAATAGTGACTGTCCGTGGCACGAGGCAAATATTTGCCACGTGCTTCGACATTTTCAATAAAATTTTTCCAGTTCTTCGACAGACCTCGTAGAAAAACTTTGGAGCATTCTTCACGAGAGAGATGTTGTCACCAGCAAACCTCGTAACAGAGTTTGTAGTAGAGTTTTCCTGGAAAATTTCAGAGCATTCTTCACGAGCTAGATGTTCTCACCGGCAAACCTCGTAACAAAGTTCATATCACTGCTTCATAGTAAAACTTCAGAGCATTCTTCACCAGGAGATCCTGTGCGTTAGTTCAGAGCAAGATGTTATGCCATCACATAACTCTCTCTTTCTCTCTTACATCTTTCTCTCTATAGCAACATGTAAATATAAATGTTTGCTTGTACATTATGAAGCTTTCTTATCAGATTAAATTATGTTTAAACATGTTTGAAATTCGTGAATGCCAAGGCTCACAAAAGGCTGTGAAATCTTTACATCAAATCAATTGACTAACAGTTCTAAATTTCAGAGCAAGGAAACACACCACAAATTATTATTCTGAGCCCATTCAGTGAGAAGTGAAAATTTGATACGATAATTAGAATTGCAAACAATCTAGACCAAATTTCATCGAACAGTTTATAATTGTGAAACTATAATTGCATAAATCAACCACTAATAGTCAAATAACATTATTTGTCATCATCGATCAGGAATGATGAGAGACGTTTGTCTATAAACTCATACTATCATGTATTAGCCTTTTATAATTCGCTATAGATACTATCGTAGATTGTGTCATGGAATCAATTCTCTCAAATTGTTGTTGATGTATCAACAGACGACGAGCTCTTTGAAGACTAGAGAGTAAATTACCTTGAAGATTTGTAAGTAAAGATGACTAAGTGAAGAAGAAGTTAATCAGATCAGATGATTCTATTCGCTTGCTCAATCGTAACCGGAGTCGGTACTTGGACAATATCATTGTACTTTGAATGTTTCGCACTCTATAGGAGGTTGTGATCTTCAAGTACAGACTTGACGATGTCAATATCATCAATATTGTCATCGCTAGTAGCATCAAGAGCATCTATCTCAATTAAATTTTCAGAAACTTCTTGAATACTTGCGTCATCAAGACCAAGAGAACCAGAGAAAAAATCATAGAATCAAATTTCTAGCAAAATTTCCACTAAATCATCTATAGCTTGATTTGAGCCTGTAACAAATCTATCAATATTATGAATAAAATTCAGCTGAGAAATGACAGGGAAACAATTGCTTTCACAAAGCATCTTCGAATGATATTCTTCTCAAGACTATATGATGCCAACTTGATCCAACCAAGCACATTGCGTAAATGTGTATGATCGTTAATTGGAAATTGAGAATGAAGTGCACGTTTAGTCGCTTGTCAAAGTTCATACTTAGACATCAGGTGGTTTAGTTGAGCATGACAAAAGTGCGCTTTGAAAGACCGAATAATTCATTGTTCAAGAGGTTGACATTCGCTAATAGCATTCGGTGGAAAAAAAATAATTTACAAATTCTGAAATTGGGAAAAAGTATCATGCGAACCTGATGGATCCAAAATCTTTGATGCGCAAACATGAGATGAAAAATTACCTTGCAGTATATGACCATCAAGGGGTGAGCGAGTAGTGAACTCGACATGAATCGAACATGCAACCTTCTGATCTGGAGTCAGACGCGTTGAAACCATTGCGCCACGAATCTGTATATAGAAGGCTCAAGGTTTGCTCTGCTAAACTAGAAGATAATACATTCAAGTGAAACATCTATCAACGCTTCACAAATTTTGTGGAAATGTTTCTCAATTTGGATAAAATTGAAGCTATTATGCTCTCCTCACATCTTTACTCTAGATGTTGAGACGTGTTTCAAATATTTCTCTAACCATCCATTTGAAGCAACAAATGTCTGAAGATGAATAATATCAGATGATTTCAAACATTTCTCGAAGTCATTTAGAATCTTGTTTTGAAAAAACAGAGCATTTTTTTGAGCACCTCTCCAGTCACGTTCACTGAGGGTGCATCGACCTCAACACACATATGCCATTGATGCACCATGTGGGTAAGAATCTACATTCGAGTTGTTCTAAAAATCATTTTAATCCCATCTATGTTTGATTCCGATGCCACCTACGTGATAACTTCTCTTTGCTTCCAAATTTTTGAAACAGTTGGACGTGCTATCAAAAATGTTAACGCAGCTTCGTCTTGAGTGGCTCCTGGTTTACTGAGAAAATTGAGCACCTTCAATTTCGTCTTGACATCCAAACGCTTACGCTTCGACATTGCAAAATCGTCGTGAACCTTGAGAATGAGAAAAAACGCTCCAAACAATGAACTTGGAGAAGTTTGTGGCACATGTGGATCACTTTAACGTTGAACACGTGTAACTCTACACTTCAGACATTGAAGCTACGAAACTTCCTCTAAGTGACACCTCCGAGTTCAGACCTTGAAGCTACGAAAGCTCCTCTAAGTGACAACTCTCAGGAGTGACACTTAACTATAAGATCGATATGTGTCATTATTGGCAGGTGAAACTCTGTAATTTATTTTATTTTATAATAATTTTACTTAAAAATTTAAGATTTAATAATATTTATCACAAAATTTCTTTCATAAGTAATATTTTTTTATAATTTACATAAAAATTATTTTAATTCATATATGAATCATTAAAGTTATTTGTATTACTATGTAATTTTTGTTATTTAGATTATTTAACATATAATTGATTTAAAAATATTTTTGTTAATAATCTACTACTAGATATAGATATATATTTTTAATATTTTATTTGATTACCATAAAAAATATTTGAAATATTTTGGATAAATTTTAATGATTTCATTTTATTTTAATATTTATTTTATAAGCACAAGTGTATTTTCATATATTTTCTATAATCATTTCCAATATTTTTATCACTGACTCTAAACTTGATGATAATAAAAGACTTCTTTTGGCTAGTGCTGACAGAACCTAAAGCTTCATCTGGGAAGATTGTCACTCCATGATTCTCATTCCTAAGTTATGGGCTGCCTTCCTTTAACAACCAAAGCTATTGTCTGGCTCTCCTGATTCTAATACATATAAGAAACCATTAACGCCCGCCGGTTTAGGGTCGACACCAATTGGTTCGGATGTCCATATAGTTTCATCCAATCTTCATCCTGGTCATGAATAGAGCACCCTGGTGATCTGTACAAAAACAAAAGTTCAATCAACAAAGGAGACAGAGTAGACATCCACAAATACGTGGTTCATTTCAGCAATATTATGATCATGAAACAGTTCTTTAATAGAAATTTTAATGTGTATCATACACAATTTATGCATATACAAAATCTCTTACTTAGCAATAACTACTCTTATTTAAATATTTATGATCAAACTTGAATCAACTGTAAATAATCATAGGAAATTTTTTTTGAGATTTAAGAAACACGTTTAATTATCAAAATTTCACTAATAGCATACAGCAGAATTTTATGAAATCACTTATACTAAATTATTTTATTTTAAGCTAAAGTATATTATACTATTAAGAAAACTATGTCAAAGGCACAAAAAATAATTCGTATAATTCTTAAAAAGTATCAGCTGATTTTAAGTTAATTATGATGCATGATATGATGCTAATAATTTTTTTTCTCAAAAAATGAAAACAAGAAAATAATGCTACAAGATTTCAATTTCAATTGGTTATTAATTTTTTTATTACTAATTGAACTATATTTCATTTTAATTTTTTTCTTAAAAACCTCCTGTCATTTTTAACCAATTATGTGCTTCAATATAATTACTTGGAGCAAGTAAAATAGCTTGATTCCAATACTCAGAAGCTTGTTCAAACCAAGAAGATGAAGTTGCGTCATATACTTTGACCTGCCTCCTGACGCAGCCAATGTCTACGATGCGGCGAAGTGTCAGTGAGCTAGAATGTAGAATACAATGAAGAGTGTACTGGAGATATGATTTGCTACGATGCAGAACAAGAGCTGCTGAAGCTGGGGAAGGACCTAGTGGATGGGGAGGGGAGGGGAGGGGAGGAGAGTGGACGGGGCCAAAGAAGTGAAGGTCATGAGAGAGGCATGAGGCCTGATTCCAAGTCTAGTGAACTTGACTAACCACCACATAACCGACGCCATAGCGGGGATGTGCACGGCAACACCGCTTTGGACTGTCGTGTGGATGTCGGGAAACGCTACTCACGTGTATTCATCCAAGCTCTGAAGCCTTGTTTCTTGGTGCGTGTTCATGTGGTCGAGTCCATGCACCTAGTCACTCTGCAATGCGGCAGTCTTTCCACAGAACATCATTTAAGTTGGTCTCTTGCAAAATCAGGACAAGGACATCAGTTATTTCGTTGTAGTTTCAGGTGGGTTCAAAACGGTCGCACTACAAGCAGATCCTCATCCGGTACGCTCATGGAATGACATTATTTTCGTCCATCCTGCTCAAATGATCCGACATCCATTGACAATACCCATGGCGACTAACACTGTGCAATATTGCACTATTAGCATCAGAGTTATATAATTTGCTTCTCCAACTTTAGACAGATTGTCGAAAAAGCCAACCAGTGACAGTGTGTGAAACATTTGGTGCGACATCTTTGATGAAATTTTTTTTTGTCACGAGTGTACATGTAGTGCATGTATGTACACTTTCCACGCGATCTGCTTTCAGCTCCAGTGGTCTAGACATCTTTTCCAAGCCGAAAGAAAAGAAAGCCCTTTGAGATAGTGCGTACTGTCTGTTTAATGGTCTGCACGAACTGTCTCCGCTCTACCTCTCAGGAAGAAAAGTATGCAACAATCCGCCCAACTGTGGATCACTTATCAGATCTGGGAAACATTAAAAGATATTCTGGCTGTCTGCCATCTGCCTCAGTACGTTTAGGAAAAGATGTCTCGGAAGTACTAAAAATTATTCCCTCGTCAAACCTCAATATCATTATAAAAGTTAAGCTGCTTTCGAGCTGAAAGTAAGATATATGCCGACCGAAATTGATTTGAAGTGATTCAATGCAGCATGACAAAAGCACCATGATCGTTAGCATCCTGACTATTAATCTACCAAAATTTCCGGATATTAGTCGGCGACGAAAAGCTGGAATCATGTAGTCATAACATTGCGTTTCGCGGGTCTAGATTTTAGAGCTTTCTCGAATGGATCCACACCTTGCACTTGACGAAATTTACATTCTAAGCTGGGCACTAGTCTCATTCGAATGTAGGGTCATCTATTTACTGTTTGCGTACGAATTTGTCAACACGTTGATGTTCGTACTCCTCGCTCTCCGAACTATTTTTGAGTTACTCTGATCTTGCAAACCAAATCTTTATCAATTACGTGGAAAACCGTTCTTTAGCTACCTACTGAACACACAACTGATCCAAATAGAAGAAAATTGTCATTGCCAAAACACTGTGGAGGGCAAAGATAGAAGGCATCGTACATCAAACTCAGTTGCAGTCGATACACAACCGTGACGTAAAGAGTGAAGTTGATATTACCAGAGTCCGGTTGCCGGGCAATGGTTGACTCTATCCCCAGTAAGGATGTCCTCCACTGTGTTGAAGTTTAGTTTGATAGGAGAACCGATGCCCAACTTCAGGGCATGCACAACAGCAGGGCCGACAATGAAGGCCCGAATCTTTACAGCAATGTCGTTGGCCAAATGCTAGTTCCGGTGTACAACTGGTCATATCAAAACTGACTTTAACAGACTTCAATTCGAATTCATCTCGTTGAAGCTTCTCACGAGTTGGGATGCGTCACCAGCAGATACAGTACCGGCATCTCCAACGACAAAAGTTGCTCTGGGAAGCTCTTGTGCAGCTAACTAAACTTCCGATTCCTACGTACCCGCTGGCCAGCCTTTGCCCACTACAGCATGAGTTCGAAGTGAGCCATGGATTTCGAAGCACAGTGCCCATGTAATGACTTGGACAAAACCTTGAGCCTTCTAGTTTAGCAGAGCAAACGCCGTTCCAGGAGAGATGGGTCCAGCAGCGCAGTAGAGGATGAGAGAAACTTAGAGAAGGTGAAGGGTCAGAACACATGTCTGATAAACTTCGACCTTCTGATCTTTTGATCGATCGTTCGTTCGTTCTGGTAATGCGATCACAACGAAAGAGGAGGTTAATTAGCGTTACAGATAGGTTCGCTCAAACCAAGGAAGAAAAGTAGAAACGCAGCCGAAGGTACGTGGCGTACCGGGTAGACAGGTAAAGCTCCTAGCTATGGTACAGGGGTATTGTTATGACTGGTACCAACCGGCAACCACAAGTGAGTCGAAGCGAGTGCGCAAGCAGGAGGACGATGCCACATGGACACCTGCCGTCCGTGCAGCATGTAGACAGCAGCATAGGGCGGAAGGCGGGCGATTAGTTAGCTGCTGCTGCTCAGCTCCGGGTCAGGATTGCATTCATGCCCTTCTCGCTCTGCCTAACGTCAGATTCACCAGAGACCGTATGTAGAGAGTTTCAGCAGCTTTGTTGACCGGATCCATACACTTGAGACAATCTGTGAGTGATTTTCATGTGCACGAAATAATAAACGCCTCAGACTCTGAGTCCCAGCCCAGACAGACAGACCTCCAAGGGAACCAAGTGAAGCACCGTTATACGCTGTTCAGATACAAGGAGAGCATGATTCCAGAGTGCAGAAGCCGCAGGTTATGGTTTTGGACAAGCGATATGATTGCATATGAAGGGAAGTGAGGTTTGAAGACTGATCATCTGATCTGATTGCCGATGGATTCCGTTCACTACCTAATGGCGCTCTACATACGAAATGAATACTTTTCATACGAAAGTTTCTGCTCTGCCCAAGCTCAACCTCCACTTTCCGCCTCATTGGCGTGTTCAACGACCATATGACGAACTCCCTGTTTGGATATAAAACTCTCAACGTGTCATCAGTAGATTGGAAACAGTGACGACTGTCCCGTTCCATCCTCTCTCTCTCCTGCTCCCTAAGATAGATCTCCTTTTATCCACTGTCATGCTCGAAGCTACTAGACCTCTTTTCATGCAAACCCATCAGTATAAAGGCCGCGCCGGGGCCTTCAATCTTTATGCCATTACTATCTTGTGTGTTATTCTCTCTCAGGCCAGGCCCCTGGCCAGAGCGAACTCTCGCAGCACCCATTCCTTACGTCCTCGGTCTTCACCTGCAGGTTCGACGACTCTCTGAGTTGATTAGATGAGACATCTGCTTTCAGCGTACATGCTCTGAAAGCAGTTGTCCGGTGGTCATTTGGTGTATCAGATAAATCACTTTGTTTATTCTAGATGAACATCTCGCTCCGTCATACTTGTCTTCTCTGTTGGTGTCAGAGATGAACACTCAAATAGCGTCTTGCGATTGACATTCACAAGAGTGGCCTTGCTGTGCTCTTTTATTATGTGAGCTAACAAGACTTAAGGCTCACTTTCCTAATTCTTGCTATTGGGTCATAAGTACAAATGGAATTGTCGTTCACATTTCCAGATCAGCGAACTCGAGATAGCCTACTATATTATCACACTAGAGTTATTCCAGCCTTAGTTTGGTGAATTTGCCTCGTCCCAGCTGAATGTGCGACAGATCTTCGCGCTTTGGGCAAACTAGATTGACTTGAGGACACGATCCTCAGCTCATACCCCTTCAGAACTCTATATAGCTGACTGCTCATCTTGACTTTTCTCCAGTATGTCATCATCGCTCATACATATGTGCATATTTGGCAGAGGGATCGACTTAGAAGTCACTCCGCATTCTTTGAAAATGCGTGAAGCAAATTTATGCTTTTCAAAGATTATATTACTGTGAAGGACCAGGCCTTGAATGTTATGTAGTTTATACTCAAGTTCAATATGAAAGTGAACCACCAGTAACTTGTTGGACGTTTTAGGCAGTACCACTTTTCGAACGATTTGGAAACATGCAGTCAGTTATATGCAAGGTGAAGGACAGTCCTAAGTGCCTTGAATATGTAGTCGTGGAGATTATCCTTTGCCAGTCAGATGGTAGTGATGAAATATGTACTTACTAGAAACTTATGTCGAGATGTTTGTACTGTGGTGCAGTTTCGTTGTAATATCAACATGGTGGAGCACGGGACCAAGGTTGGGGCGCTGCCTGTAGGGAGTGTCGACGAAAGCGATCAGAAGAGTTATATACTGGATCCACTAGACAAAGAAGAGCTAGAAGTCCTCGACAAGGTCACAAACGAAACCGTTGATTTCCGTGGCAGACCAGCTATCAGATCCAAGAGTGGCAATTGGAAGGCCTGCTTTCTGATTTTTGGTACGTCGGCTTCAAGGGACTTGTATCTCATCTCTTCGATATTTTACGATACATACGAGGGGATTCATCCATTACCAGGAGATGAAGTAAATTACAATAAGTAGAACTGTGTTGGAGAATGCAAATCGGCCTTACACTGCAGGCGTATTTAATAGAGCATTGAGAAATTGTTCACTAAGTAAAGCTAGTATATGTCGGATATAAGTTGTGAAATAAAGTGATATGCGTACCATGTTATTAGAAGCTAAATGCAGAGTTCTTTTGACGAGATAAGCTGACAGCTCCAACAATGCTGAATGAGCTCCATGTAATCATCTCCCGCAGGTACTGAAGTCTGCGAAAGGATGGCATTTTATTCAATCTCAGCTAATCTGAGCATGCATCTTCAGGAGGCACTGCATGAAGATGTATCAGTTTCTGCGAGGAATGTCAATAATTGGGTTGGCACGACATTTCTCACACCCTTGTTAGGAGCTTTTGTAGCTGACTCCTTCGCAGGACGTTATTGGACAATTGCATCGTTCTCCTGCGGTTATTTTGTGGTACGAATACCAAACTTTTCGCGATCAAAGCTTTTCAGTTTGGCTCTGTGTGGATATTACTCTAATACTTGTCGAGAAGCTTGCTCGGTTCCAGTACAAGTGGCCATATCCATTGGCCATCAGAGCAGGAGACATAAGAATTGTGAAGACAACATTCACTCGTCAGAGATTAAATATACATTCTTCTGCACCAAATCTTCTTGGATCAGATCTGACATAAAGCACTTGTGTACATGTTTGTGATGTACAGGCGCTTGCATTGGTTGTCATGTCTGTAACTTTGCCGACTCTGAAGCCGCAGTCTTGTGACGTCCTTTATGATGAAAAGTGCGCTAATCCGACTTCACTTCAAGTAGGCTTCTTCTACATGTCCTTATACCTGATGGCCCTGGGAGCCGGAGGAATCAAATCCTGTGTCGCAGGCTTTGCCGGTGATCAGTTTGACGACGGGGACAAGAAGGAAGCCAAGCGCAAGATGTCTTTCATGAACTGGTGGTTTGTGAGTATAAGCTTTGGAACCATGTGTTCTGTCAGCTTCTTGGTTTACATCCAGATCGCTGTGGGGTTGGAATACGGATGGGGGATTCCTGCGCTTATCTCTGCCTTCACGACCACAGCTTTCCTTCTGGGTACTCCATTGTATCGCCACCGAAAGCCGACCGGCAGTCCTTTTGCTCGAGTCGCGCAGGTCATCGTTGCTGCTGCCCGCAAGTACTCTGTTCAGCTGCCTCATGATGACGACTTACTCTACGAGATTGATGACAAGGAGGCACTTGATCCTGCCAACCGCAAACTTCCTCACACCCAGGATTTCACGTAAGCATGACATTGTGCAGATCTGATGATACGCGGTGGATGAATGGCTTATGCAAATGTTGTACAGGTTCATGCGGCTTCAAAAATCGCAAAACTTGACCAACTAGACGTGGAGATGCCATACGCCAGTATTACGGATGGCATATCCACGTTTCTAATTTTTTGAACGATGCGGACCCATATGGATTAAGATTAACTGATATTGCGCATTTTGCCATCGGAAGAGTGCTCCATGTACATTCTTTGAAAAGGGGAATCGGAGAACTGCGAATTTAATGCAATACACTTCAATAGTTTATACTTTCACTGATTAGTCAGACGTTTCTATCGTAATGAGATTGGTATAAGTATCATTCAACTTTTGCATAAAGTAACATTCAGCCTGTTTACGGGTGACTCATAAACAAGTACGAAGATTGCAGTCGAATGATCAGTTTATGATTCTATCTGAGCATTGTTGCGAAACGTGAAAGTTTTTTTAATGCCAAGTCTGACGTAAATCGTTGAATTTGAATGAACAGATTTCTGGACAAAGCAGCGGTACCAGGAGCAGAAGTGATGATCTACAACTGCAAAGGTGCGCGACCAGATCCGTGGAAGCTGTGCACTGTGACGCAGGTGGAGGAAGTCAAACTCCTAATCCGCTTGCTTCCAATCTGGATCACGAATCTCATGTTCTCAGCTGTATTTGCCCAGGTCGGGACTCTATTTCTGAACCAGGGCTCCACCATGAACAGAAAGATTGAGACCATTGGCTTTCAGATACCTGCTGCATCATTCCCACTATTCGTCACATTCACAATCTGCTCGTTGCTCCCACTGTATGATAAGTTTTTCGTTCCATTCATGCGGAGATTCACGGGTGAAGAGAGGGGCATATCCTTGCTGCAAAGAATTGGAGTCGGCCAGGTCGTGTCCACTTTGTCGATAACAGTCGCTGCGTGTGTGGAGATGAAGCGTATGGCTGTTGCGAAGAGGTATATATTTGAGAATGGCATCATAATGGACCATTCCAAGGGCTCTGGTGCTACTTTAGATCTTCCGATGTCAATCTTCTGGCTCACTCCTCAGTACATGTTGACGGGAGCAAGTGAGGTGTTCATTTCTGTGGGCCAAATGGAGTTTTTCTATAGCCAGGTCCCGGATTCTATGAGAAGTGTGGGAGCTGCTCTCTATCTGAGCACTGTTGCTGTCGGGAGTTTCGTGAGCAGCTTGCTCGTGACAGTAGTCACCAAGTTGACTATGAATTCGAATGGTGGTTGGATCGGCAACGATCTCACACGGAGCCACATCGACTACTTCTACTGGCTTCTTGCAACCTTAAGCCTTCTGAACTTCAGCATCTACATCGCTTGTGCCAGATGGTATAAGTACAAAACGATCCCAGGCAGGTCCACATCTACCTTCACCTCACCCGAAGTCATTTCTCCTGATGTCACCTTCCATCCTATCAAGCCCCTCCTCCACCCACCACCACCACCAACAACAACAACAACTCATCACGGCAATGACAGTGCGCAGATAAAACAGCTTCCTGACCCTCCTGCTCACAGGAATGGCCACCACAATGGCAATGAGCAGATGTAGCACTTCCCTCGTACTCCTCACTGTCATGGAAACGGTCACATTGATCACTGAAAGGGTGCTGCGACACACCTCCCTCCCCATCCTTAGAAAGAGACACCATCCAACATCAGCTTGAATTCATACACGACCCCAAGACATGCAGTCGAAGATCAGCGGCAGAGACAAAGAGCACTTCTTTGAGCAGTGGGGTGTGCAAGAAACACAGAAGTTTGACTGACAGATTCGTTTCAGTTCATAGAAAGATTTGATTCTGCTAGTTTAGGACTATCCTCTAAATAATAATTTATCTTGCCGAGTGACTCAACCTACTTGACTTTCAGACCTGCAACTCCGGGAGTGTACAGCTGCAGGGGACGGAGGGAACGGGACGGTGGATTACAAATTTCACTAGTTAGAATAGCTGAATAGTTTACTTAAGACGCATTCCGGGAGGCATTAGTTCTGTTTCATGGACTTTGTGGTTTTGCAATGTCTTAAAGGCGCAAATTCAGTAGTAAAGTATTTTTGTTAAACGTCCAGCAGCGGGTCATCGTGAGCTCTCAAATGAACTTGAATTGTTTGAGTCTTTATGCAGATATATAGACTTATAAATATATATATTCATCCGTGCAAAATTATCATTTAAAGGTCTACATTAATAATGTCTACTTAGCGTAGGTGGAACTCTGCTTTTATGGATGCAAATACTCTTAACGGATGTAAAACACTAGAGATGAAGAATCAAAGACTAATTTGAATACAAATCGCTTCGTGTGCACTAAATCGGAATTTCCTGAGCTATGGGTGGTCAAACAAACATCTTCTACAATGAATTAGAGTTTACTATTCCTTCTTCATGTGATATGTTAAATCGCGACATGTTACAAGATACAAATACCTGCCTATGAATGTAATATTTGAACTGTAAATGCAATAAATACAATATGATGATCTAGTTTTCTTAAATTAAGTTTAAAATATTATCAAGTACACTAAAACATATTTTTCTTGAAATAAATGTCATGTTTACCTGTTTAATAGTTTCAGTATATTATATATAAAATAATATTATTATTCAAGCTTGATGGATTTTTTCAAATAAAATTTAGAGTTGAATTGAGCTAAGCAATGAGTTGACATAAAGATCCATTACGAAAATTGAGTTTTTTAAGAAATTACATATCGATATAAATTTTTTTCAAGATGATTTTTTCAAATACTCTTATGTGATTTATCCTTTATTATTTTATTGAAAAATATTTCAAAAATATGAAACATGTTCATATTACATATTTAACCAAGAAATATCAAACATATTATTATTATTTTATAAAAATTATGTTATGTTTCATTAATTTTTTTTGCATGGTATGAAATTTATGTAATATTAATTTATGTAAAAACTTAAAAAAATTCGTATGATACACAAAAAATTATTAAAAGAAAAATTAAAAAGTAATGGAATTTTTTTCATCATTCTTAAATTCTAACAGTAACGTAAAATAGTCCTTATTATTCTTCATGTTTATAGTAGAATATCAAATCTAAATAAAATCTAATAAATAAAATTATAATATTAATAAAAATGAAATATTAAAATTAATGTCGTTCACAATATTTATGATTTCAAAATAAATCTTTATCAATTTAATTATAAAATAAATATCATAATTGGTAGAGATAATGTTTTGTCGGCCGTCGGCTGGTTTTAGGCTGCTATGTATCCAAATTACAAAGGACAGCAAGACCTAGCTCGCCTCCGAATATCATAACAGGATTTTTAGTAAAACCTAATATCCTTGTGGAATCCACCTAAATTAATATGTAAATTAGATTTTATTAAAATTAATGTTGAGGAGAAAAATTAGAATTCATATAGTATATAAAATTACGTATATTTTCATTTTCAAGTTTACTATATTTGTGATTATTTTAGAAAATCTGCCCATTACAATAAAATGTTATTGGAAAAATTTCAGGCAATTAATTAAAACCAATCTTGGATTATTCAATCTTCTATTCCAGAAATGAACATGATATTCTCATTTATCTATTGAAATTATTATATCATGCGGATGTGATTCAACTTGCTACCCATTTTTTAATTTGCTTCAAGATGTATTACAGTTTGATTTATTTATAATCATTCGAATCATCTTCTTTTAATCTAATCTAATCAATTGATATTTTTCAATGATTGATTACAAAATTTCAATTTTTTTCTTGTATTATCAAATATTAAACTTCTGTAATTGATTGAGATTTGCGTTTTTACAAAAATAAAATTTAAACTTTTTCTTACATTTATAAATATAAAAAACAATTGATAGATTTATATTTGTCAAGATTTTGTTCATAATCAACAATATAGTTCAACAAAAGTTTAACATTGTCCAATAAATCATCAAATGAAAGAGTAATATTAATATTATCTATTTATTTCACAAGTATCCAATGCTTCTTTTTTAAATTAGACATATATTTGTTCACTTTTATCTTGATAATAGTAGTTTTAAATTTGAAGCAGATTATTATTTACATAAATATTTGAATTTTATGGCAATAAAAAAATTGGCAATATTATTCAATATCAAAAATTGGCCAATGAACTGAAAATTTCTTAAATGTGATGTTAAAAAGTATCAATTATTTCAAAATACATTATGTTTAATCTTCAAATATCTACCGTAGATCAAATTTTTTTTCCCATAGTTATTAGTCTATGAATATGAGTGTTCACTAATCATAATTAACGTTACTCAAAATGATCATATCATCAATATTGATATTATAGTAGAACATGTTTAAAATAAAAAAATTGAGATCAGCGGTAAATATTGAATTAGAAATTTTATTAAATAAGAAAGAGTTAATTTTAAGACTCCTCTTATTATTGTATACATAAGGCTGGGAAAGGATGCGCAATGGAAGAGACAAGTTTAAAACGCGAGTTTGGAATCTTCTTTGCAATACTCTCCTCCCTCAACAATACCACACACACACTTGTATTATGCCACCAACATTTCGTCATGCCAAAGAAAGGTGGAAAATACACGACGATGACGGAGAAGTTACACATTGCTCTTTGCATCCAAAAAAACACAACCCTACACTTTCTTGGATTGAGCTTTAGCGATGGCTGAAGTAAGAGCACAACATTGACGTCTGCCAGCCAGCCTACAATTTGTCAGATCTTGAAACATTCAGCTGAGCTATTCAGATGTGATGAAGATCCTAACATTCAGAGCAAGCGCCAATGAACTATTAAGTGCATTTGGATGGAGTAAACACTTGTTGAATGTATCTTGACAAACAAAGAAAACATCCAATCTTCTTTGAAGATCTCATCAAGTAGAACATTAGATTTGATGACTTGATGTAATGAATTTTTTCAACTAATCTAGGGAAATCTAGCAAATTTGTAGATTGATTTGTATTTTGTAAGATGTAGTGATTTAAAAAAAAAATTTGGAACACCAAAATTATTGAATATTGCATTAAATTTTTTAATTCAATTGAGTATGGGCTCAATCATCCGTAGATATTGAATAACCGAAATTATTGAATTAAACATCATAGTTTTTGACGGTATATATCATACATTGATTGATGTAAATCAATCAATATTTGTCATTTGAATTTATTTGCTCATCATAATGAAGCAACACAAAACAAAAACTGAAGCCAATAATGTATTGGATTTTTAAAAACAAAGATTTATTTCACTTATTTTTTTTTCAAAATTTCAAAAATGAACAATGATGTCTTCCAAGTATCAAATGTGATTTTTGTCTTTGTATTAAAATATTTAATATAATATTTCATTAAATTTAAATTAAGCAATAAGTTTAATTCACTTATTTTTGCAATCAAAATATTGTTCAACCAAATTTTAAAATCTATTATTATCCTCATTCATTTGCTTGCAAAAGAAAAATTGTGACTTTGATGTAACATATTCACAACTTGGGTTTGAAGATTATTTATGTTGATGTCGTTTGATGAAATTTTTTTATGCCTCAATGTCTTATCCAAACTCAAATCATTTAGCTTGTTTTTTATTTGAATCTTCTATACAATTTACTCACACATTTTATTCTATCATTAAAATTAACATTTTAAACTTTCATGGCAACATGACTTTTTCACAAAATTGTAAGTTTGTCACTTGAATTTATCAGTTTGTCAGATAGATTTTTGATTCTACAGACATGACAAAATTTTTGTTTCATTTGTTCACTTCGCTTTTTTAACAAAGTTGACATTCACTGAATTTGTAAAGATATAATCTAATTAATTATTGTTGTCTTGTTATATATTGTATGAATCTATGCAAGTACAAAAAATGATGTTGCATAAATATTTTCATATTCCATCTCAACTGGCTTGTTTGCTTCTTGTACAATATACTTATCTTCAATTTCATAACACTTAAATTTTCCTTGCCCCATTCAAACATTTTGCATTGTCTCTATTATTTTACTTGATATATAATAAGCTTTAGGGAAGATTGGGGATGTTAAGGGTATTCAAGATCAACGAGTTCACTAGATCACTACGTGACATATCCTAGTGTTATTCTAAATCTCTCAGACTAGCAAACCAACAACATAATGAACATAGAGACACAAGTATAACGTGGTTCACCCTCAAGGGCTACGTCCACAGAGGAATACGCTCGAGAAAGTTTACTACTTCAAGTGAGTTCCTCGTATCACTCTCAGGGTATATATATACCCAAGATAGTCAACCACTCTAAGCTATAAATAGCTACATGTGCGGTTAACATTGGTTAACTAACCTCAGTTAACTTTTAACTGAGATTAACTCCTTAACCAGAGTTAACCTCAACACTTAGTCACATTCCATATACTTCTAGCTCCGTGAGCATCACTATTTCAGAGTCTACTTCTGAAATCTAATCTCATCAACTTGACTACCACAGAGTTGAATTGCTATTTGTGTCGACGGCATAGCTCATTCTTTATCAACAAATTGTGAACTAAATCGAACACTTTGGTCATTCTAGAAGTGATCATTGATATTCATTGGTGAAATGCAAATTTTAGTGATATATAGAGTTAAACCAATAGTGTTTACTCTTATGATTGACATGAAAATGGAACACCATTAGTTTCTAATTTGTAAATCTCTCCAATATTAACATTATGTCACTATTGACAATAATGATAGTGTCGAGCTTTAATGACTATCATAATTATCAAAAGTATTGATTCAAAGCTTTAAGATTTAGAATCGAATGGAAGTCAGATAGAGTTTAGAATTTGAACATTGATTTAAAATCAGATGAATTGTTAAGATGCGAGAGAGAAGTTAGTGAAAATTTATACAATGAAACTATACAACAAGAATTCTCGTGCAGATAATTTTGTCATATGTTTGATCTTCTTCCTTGGCAACAAATTGTTGAGATGCGAGAGAGAGTTCAATGAGAATTTATATAATGAAAATTCAGTATGCAGAAAATTTTGTCATATGTTTGCTTCTTCTTCGTCATCGACGTACAGTAGAGATGCG